CAATGTTTGTATTAGTTGTTAACCTTGGTCAGTATTCAACAGTTTAAGATACTAATGTTTGTATTAGTTGTTAACCTTGGTCAGTCTTCAACAGTTTAAGATACTAATGTTTTTATTATTTGTTAATTTTGGTCAGTATTCAACAGTTTAAGATACTAATGTTTGTATTAGTTGTTAATCTTGGTCAGTCTTCAACAGTTTAAGATGCTAATGTTTGTATTAGTTGTTAACATTGGTCAGTTTTAACAGTTTAAGATACCAATGTTTGTATTAGTTGTTAACCTTGGTCAGTCTTCAACAGTTTAAGATGCTAATATCTGTATTAGTTGTTAACCTTGGTCAGTCTTCAACCGACCAAAATTAACAAATAATAAAAACATTAGTATCTTAAACTGTTGAAACTGACCAAGGTTAACAACTAATACAAACATTAGTATCTTAAACTGTTGAATACTGACCAAGGTTAACAACTAATACAAACATTGGTATCTTAAACTGTTGAATACTGGCCAAGGTTAACAACTAATACAAACATTAGTATCTTAAACTGTTAAAACTGACCAAGGTTAACAACTAATAAAAACATTAGTATCTTAAACTGTTGAAGACTGACCAAGGTTAACAACTAATACAAACATTAGTATATCAAGCTGTTGAATACTGACCAAGGTTAACAACTAATACAAACATTAGTATATTAAGCTGTTGAATACTGACCAAGGTTAACAACTAATAAAAACATTAGTATATTAAACTAGTATTCAACAGTTTAAGATACTAATGTTTGTATTAGTTGTTAACCTTGGTCAGTATTCAACAGCTTAATATACTAATGTTTGTATTTGTTGTTAACCTTGGTCAGTATTCAAGAGTTTAAGATACCAATGTTTGTATTAGTTGTTAATCTTGGTCAGTCTTCAACAGTTTAAGATACTAATGTTTGAATTAGTTGTTAACCTTGGTCAGTATTCAAGAGTTTAAGATACTAATGTTTGTATTAGTTGTTAACCTTGGTCAGTTTTAACAGTTTAAGATACCAATGTTTGTATTAGTTGTTAACCTTGGTCAGTTTTCAACAGTTTAAGATGCTAATGTTTGTATTAGTTGTTTAACCCATAACACCATCTTAATATACTATATGTTGTAGTGCCTCTGCCCCCACCGTCGTACGAGGAGAGTATGCTAAGTCAGCCACCCCCAGAACGAAACGACGTATCGAGGTAAGATATATATCAAAACTATGGAGAAAAATGAAAGTTAATCTTCTCGAAAAACGAAATTCATCTCTTGTGGAGCTCCAGTAAATATTACTTAAAGCTCTGAAAACTGACTTGAAAGAATTTGATATATGTATAATAACAACATTGACTTTCAGATGTTTCCCAAATGTAGTAAGCCTTTTATAGTGTCTGAATTTTGATTCCAGATATAAATGTTACCCTGTTTCATCTGTATTAAAACTTATGTTCCATTTTTGAATATTAATATGTATTTACAGACTTTAACTTTATTAAAATGTCACTAGTTCTTTCTCGTTCACAGATTTCAATTTCATTAAAGCTAAGGTTTCTTCAAAACTTTATTTAAAAACTTATCCACGACATCAGGATGTCCTGAACCTCATGATAAAAAACAAGGGGGAATCCTCAATAGGCGCGGCACTTGAAATTCTTTTAGGCAGGATTAGAGAAAATTAATATACGAGACCTTTTTTTTCTCCTTTTTATTAGCGATATTTTTACGTGCTAGAAATACCAATCGTTAGGCGCGCGTGACGCCAGAAATATTAAGCGTTGGGTGCGCGTGACGCCAGAAATATCAATCGTTGGGTGCGCGTGTACCCGATTCCATTTTATTACTCAGCAGAATCTCTACCAGCTTACCTTCAAATACAAATTCTTTTAGGCAGGATTATAGTTCAATTAATCTACGAGAACTTGAGCGTGGGCATATATATATATCAAACGAAAGGGTCTGATCTCCTGAGTCCAAATCTGTAATTAGATTTCAAATCGGTCAAGAGGTGACGGAGCTATGAGCTAAAAGTTTGTGGGAAAAAATATATACTCTGAACCATTTTATGAGCCATTATGCCGCGGCTAAAATGTAATAATGGAATTATTTCTTACGTACAAGTAAATAAGTCATAAGTCCATTACTATTTATTTTTCACCATGCGGTTCAGGACTTCCGTAACGACAGATTGTTAACAAAACAATATTTATTTACGTTTGTTGTACAATATTGTAGAAGCTATATATATATACATTTCTGCTAATTTTTTAGTATTCCTGCCATGACGGAAGAACAGGTTCGGGCAGCATTGTTGGACCACGTATCCGAACATTGTTGCTATGGTAGCGGACCGGCCAAGACAATGGTCATTCGTGACGTATTGATGAACAGTGCTTTCCATGTAAGACTGTCCAAATCCAATTTAGGATTGGTTCGTTTGAGCGCCCTCTTTCGAAATATATAAATTTAGATTCTATGAAAATGATTCATCAAATGTTAAGTAGCTTATTTATTAGGGTTAGTCTAACTTTGTTTATCTGATATCTAGCTGCTGTCGTCAGACGTATTCCTCAAAAGGACTTATTTATTAGGGTTAGTCTAACTTTGTTTATCTGATATCTAGCTGCTGTCTTCAGGCGTATTTCTCAAAAGGACTTATTTATTAGGGTAAGTCTAACTTTGTTTATCTGACATCTAGCTGCTGTCTTCAGGCGTATTCCTCAAAATGACTTATTTATTAGGGTTGGTCTAACTTTGTTTATCTGATATCTAGCTGCTGTCTTCAGGCGTATTCCTCAAAATGACTTATTTATTAGGATTAGTCTAACTTTGTTTATCTGACATCTAACTGCTGTCTTCAGGTGTATTCGTCAAAAGGACTTATTTATTAGGGTTAGTCTAACTTTGTTTATCTGATATCTAGCTGCTGTCTTCAGGCGTATTTCTCAAGAGAACGTATATTTTTTAGAACTGCATGTCGTCTAGAATACATCTTACCTCTAAGCTCCCACATGTTATAACAAAAACTATTATAACCTAGACTACTCGTGGAGAAGGTTTAAGAACAATAAAGTAAAGATTGTATGTATAACTAAGATGATCCTGTTTAGTTAAATGTTTGAATCTGGACGTTCTTTTATCCTTACTATTTATTTGTCTTTATTTCAGTACACCTTGGAAACTTTTACTGAAAAACGTGAGACCGCTTGGGCTTATGAACCTTATGACGGTTAGTTGTTTGTATTGGAGTCTGTGTAGTGATTAAACAGATAGTGGATTTTGTGGAGTAAAAGTCTGATTAAACAGATGGTGGATTTATTCGTAGTAAAAGTCTGATTAAACAGATGGTGGATTTAGTGTAGTAAAAGTCTGATTAAACAGATGGTGGATTTAGTGTAGTAAAAGTCGATTAAACAGATGGTGGATATTGTGTAGTAAAACTCTGATTAAACAGATGGTGGATTTAGTGTAGTAAAACTCTGATTAAACAGATGGTGGATTTAGTGTAGTAAAAGTCTGATTAAACAGATGGTGGATTTTGTATATTGAATGTTTGAAGTAAACATATAGTAATTCAAACACAAGTTTTATTGAGGTTTTACGACTAAGAAAAACAAAAGGGGAATCCTCAATAGCCGGTGCACTAGAAATTCTTGAAGGTAGGATTAGAATAAATTAATTGATGAGACCTTGGACTTGGTAAAATACATCGATTTCATATCGGTCAAGAGATGACGGAGCTATGAGCTAATAGTTTGTACTTGGGGAAAACAACAACACAGAGCCGTTCTGTGAGCCGACGTGCTGCAGCTAAAAATATGATGAAGAAAAACCCGAGTTTTTTATTCAAAGGAAACCAGTCGAAGAAAGAAACGTGATGACATTCGAGAGTCACCGAAGTGTATGTTAACAAATGTTATATAAGGTGAGTTTCTTCTATTGAAAGTTGTGTGTGGCTAAGTGGTTAGCCCACTCTGAGGGTTGATGGATCGCCTACCAGTTTCTACGTGTGTATAAGAGTGACAGTCAAATCCCATTATTTGAACAGACGAGTGTACCCTAAGAGTCTGAGACGGGTGCCGTTGACTAACTACCTTCTCTGTGGGATGGGCGTGACTCGAACTGTGGATCTAAAGGTCCACGCTTTGAATTCTATTTTAAAACAAAAATCACCTTCCGCTGGATATGTTGTCAAAGTCCACTATTCTGTTAGAGTAGCTCAAGAGATTACGGTTGGTACATTTGACTAGCTGCCTTTTCTCCAGTTTTATCAGTACAAAGTTAGAGACGGTTATTCGAAGATAAAGTTTGCGTGAAAATACAATACAAACAAACAAATAAACTTTTTTACATACAATACAAACAAACAAATAAATTTTTTTACATAAAATACAAACAAACAAATAAACTTTTTTACATACAATACAAACAAACAAATAATTTTTTTTACATAAAATACAAACAAACAAATAAACTTTTTTACATACAATACAAACAAACAAATAAACATTTTTACATACAATACAAACAAACAAATAAACTTTTTTACATACAATACAAACAAACAAATAAACTTTTTTACATACAATACAAACAAACAAATAAACATTTTTACACACAATACAAACAAACAAATAAACTTTTTACATACAATACAAACAAACAGATTAACATTTTACATACAATACAAACAAACAAATAAACTTTTTACATACAATACAAACAAACAGATTAACATTTTACATACAATACAAACAAA